CTGGCAGTTACCATGTGGCTTTATGACATACAAAGTCAAATATGTCTTTGTATCTTTTTTGAATGTTAGTTTGCTAGTTTCAGTTAAGGCATACATTGCTTCTCCTGGATTTTGTGCTAAAATGCTTATTGTTTTTTCTTTTACATTTTAAATTTTTAATTAATCTGAAATTTGATTTCATTTGTTCTGAGATGGGATTTAATTTTACTGTTTTCCAGATGGCTAGTGCCTTTATTAAATAAGCCATTTTGTCCCATTGAATTAAAATATGATTTGGTGGTATATTTATACTTTGCATATATACAGATTTACTTCTGAGATCTCTATTCCAATACTTTTGTTTGTTCTCAGGGAAGTAAAAATTTTAATTATACAGGTTTTTTTTTTTTTCTAATATCTGTTTCCTCCATAGTAATCTTTCTCTTTAGGTATTTTTCTGACTCTTCTAGGCGTTTATTTTCCCATGTGAATCTTAAAGTCACCATATTGACAAGAAAAACTAGTTGAGGCTGTTATAGGAAAAACACTGAATATAGATTAACTTGTAGAAACTAAATATTTTCATAAGAATCTTTACATCCTAAACTATGGAATATTTGTTAAAATTTCTTAATATAAGTTATGTCTTCTGATTAGGTATATTCCTATGATTTTATAGTTTGCATTGATATTTTTATAGAATATTTCCCTATTTTTACTTTTAAATCCTTACTGCTAATATAGAGAAAAGGTGTATCCTGCTGTACCCATCCTCCCAGCATGCATTTCACTCTTTTGGTAATATGCTTATTATTAGAATTAGGTATGCCTCTGTTATGGCCCAATCATAGTGTAAATTGATTTATCTAGTAGTAGCCCATGGGAAAAAAATAATGTGTCTAATTGTCTTGATAGCCTTAAATGTGGCACAACTGTAGTTCTGTAAGCTTGACTATATTTATGAAACAAATATTTAGATGAAATCTTGGTTTCATTGAGTGAATGCTATTCTTTATGTACAAGGCATGATGCTAGAGGTGGGTGTATAGGTATCAACAGGACAAGGTTCTTGGTCTCATGAAATACACATGGTAGTTGGGTGAATAGCAGATGAAGCCTAAGACATGTCAAGAATGAACAGTTTCATTTATAGCTGAATGGCATTAGCATGTAGGTTATTCATTATTTTTTAAAAGAGGTGAATTAGCAGTAAATTAAAATTCTGAATCTTAAGTTAGCTGCTAATGAATGCAGTATTTTGTTATAAGTTATGTCTCTTGAGGAAATGTATTCTTTCACATTCAAATGTCAAGCTGTCACAGAGCCTTGTGATAATCAGGAGATGAGCATTGTCTATATGTTTGAAGTGATTTACTCTAAGTAGAGGGTTTGCATCAAATCGTAGGTGGAGTCTTGCACCAATTATCTGAGTTGAATGACTTTCTTTGTGCTTTCTTTTGAGCTTGTTTAAAAGGGAAGTCTTGGCTATTAATTCATAGCATATTTGCAAAAATTAACATGATCTTTCCCTAGTTTTAATTTTTTTTTTAACTCTGAAGACTGTTTTTCTTCTTTTTAAAAATCTTACATAGCTTAATAACTGTTAGGAGAAATTTTTCTATTAGTTAATTGAATATTGTGGTTTGTGTAGATTTACATACATGGCATTTGATCATAATATTCATAATAATAAAGTTTATTAATACCATTTACCATAGAGCCTGGTGGGCCTTGCCATCGTGATTTGAGAATTAACTATCATTGTACCTTCCAATACATAAGCACTGCTTAAAGAAGAAAGAACTTCTAGTTGATAGAATGATTTTACCTACTGAGTAGTTTCCATTGGGTTGCCTTTAGTGAATTTACTTGGCTTTATTATATTTTCATAATTTTTAAAATTTAAGTAACTAGTTTATGACACTGTATATGAGTCAGAAATTTAGATCCAGTCTCTTTATATGCTGCCACCACACCTCCGCCCCTGAAGTGTGCCCACAATCCTCCACCACAGTCCCTGGGGCCCACTCCGCCCCGTTCTTCTCTGGCCTTCAGCTCCCCTAGATTCTGACACTGGAAATAGAACATAAAATTTACTAAATTATATTTACATCTGTTTTCTTTACTTAATAGCCTTGAGGGCACATTCAATTTTATGAAAAATAGAAGTTAGACAAGATTCTTATTTTCCCTGCAGTGCATAAAGATCTAAGCTCTTTTTCGATATGACTCTAAAGTAAAGCACTAGTAGAGAACATTGAACTGAAGGGACATAAATGTATCTTTATGTATTAGAATTTTTTAGTTACTATATAGCAATGTTGAGGTAATGATTTTAGTGAGGACAGTCTTAGCTAGTAATCAAGCAGAAAGTTTAGTTTTGTAAAAGCCAAAAGAGAAGAGTGATTAAGGAAGAAAAGATAAACAATAATGTTGAATTAAAGGAGAAACCACAACACTAAAGAGGATGGGGAAAAAGACGATGCCTTGGTTTAAGTAGTTATAAAAGCACTTTCAGTGGAGCAGAAGTCAAGTTGTACTGTACATCCTGTGTCTTGCTTTCTCTCTCCCACTTGAGTGAATTGAGGAGATACATGCTATCATTATCAAATTCAGTGAACATTATTATTCATGAATACAAAATATGTTGAATGACTGTCTAGAACATGAAAATGAGCTTAGTGGTGATGTTTTTATCTTAATAAGTAACTCAACTTGCCTTTAACATCACGTGTCTGAAACTAAAGTTAATATGAAATGCTTCTTTCTGGTAAAGGGACTTTGATTTTTTACTTTTCATTGCACATAAATTTTTTTTTTTTTTTTTTGTTTTTTTTTTTTTTTTTATTTATTCATACAGAACTGGGGTACAGGCCAGAGGCTCAGGGACGGTGAGAGGCCTCACCAGAGACAGAGTGGGGAGCAGAGCAGGCAGATCGACGAAGTACACTGCTGAGGGGAGCAGCGGGCGGGTCAGGAGAGGTCTGGCTCGCCATGTGGTCTCCTCCGGGGCAGGCGGCAGGCGGGAATCGAACTCATGCGGAAGTGGCTTCAGATTCTCAGTGCTGTGCTTTAACCCGCTGCGCCACCAGGGAGGGCCGCACATAAATTTTTTAAGGTAACATTGGTTTACAACATTGTATGTGATTTAGGTGGATAGGTTCACACATCCTCAGACAGGTGTCACCACACCACACTCACTCACACAGCACCTGGCATCCTCTCTCACAGAATACTGCCCCCCCTTCCCCTCCTTCTTTGTTCCCATATGCACGTCCTCTAGTAGCCTCGATTCTACCGTCAGATTCTGGGGTTTGGTTTAGTTTTCTGTTTGTTTTGTTGCTCTGGTTCCCTCATATGAGTGAAATCTTCAGGTATTTGTCTTTCTCCTTCTGACTTATTTCATGTAGCGTCATTTCCTTTAGTTCCACCCGTGTCTTAACAGATGGCAAGAGTTCATCTCTCTCTCTCTCTTTTTTTTTAAATAACTGAGTAGTACTCCAATGTCATTTAACATAGCTTTTAAGAACTTCTTTGGAAGACTGATCTCTTAACTTGACATCACAATGTTTAGTCTATATAGTAAGCTTTCGAAATATTCAATGTGATTTGATGCTATTTTAAATATGTTGACTGTGTTTTATTCCCTCACTTCTGGATGGGGAGAATCCTTAGGGAATAATAAAGATAGGAACAGCAACTAAGCTGCTGACAATCTAATTGCTGTGCAGTCTAACAGGATACTAGCAAAGGGACTCTTTTTTTTTCTGGTCTTACCTGGTCTTTAGCACCTTCTTACAAGGTAGAGCAGACTGGACAAGGAACACTGAGTATGTTGTTAAGTGACATGTATTGATTTTGGCCAAAGGAAAAGCAATAGTATGACTCTGTGAAGAGGTTTTCCTTACTATGTTGACACAATTCTTTTGTATTTATTGTATTCTTCATCTTTGGAGCATGAATTTCCTCCATGTTTACCTTCAGATTATCCTTACAGATGGAATTTACTACATTGTATGTGACTCTGGTTCTGATTAGTACATAATAAATTCTGTGTGTAAATATGTTTTATTATAATATCATTATTGCAAGATAGAATTCCTCTTGCAACAGCCTCTGTGAGAATGAACTGAAAAAAATTAAAAGACGAACTCTATCTGCTCAGATTTCTACTCCACTCTTGGCTGTTCTTACCTTTGTGAATGAATAAATGTGAATCATTTCACAGTTCTGCCATTTTCAATTCCTTGCTTGATCTCTCTCCCTGGTGTCTATTTGCCTGAGTTCCCCCACAATTACTTAAGTCTTTCAGTTTATACTAGATAATCTCATACCTATCCTGAAATTACTTCTCTGGTTGGTGTTTACCATGTAAGAAATGAATTGTGATAAGTTAGTTGATAATATTTGATGGAGATAATATAGACACAACTTTATAGTTAACTTCCAGAAAGATTCTTTAATAGTGAGGGCAATCCCTAAGAAAAAGAAAGTATTTGTGATAATGACAACAGTATATAGCTATAATTAGTAGCGTTAACAAGGTCATTCTCCAGGTGTTGGGGAAGAGAGGAATGAGTAGGTAAAGTGCAGATTTTTAGGGCAATAAAACTACTCAGGATGATATCATTATGTATCTGTCACAACTTATGGATGTCCAACACGAAGAGTCAACCCTACTGTCAAATGTGGACTTGGGGTGACAATGCATCAGTAGTGTTCCTTGAATTGTAATAGTTGGCAGAGGGGTGCATGTGTCAGCTGCTCTACAAAGTAGTCTGTTTTAAAAGATAAACCAAAAACTGTATTGTCATTCACATTTTAGAAGCATCTACAAGATGGAACTGAAATTAACTTTCTTAACTCAAAATGAATGATTAACGACCTTGAGTAATTTGTAAGCCCAAGGGAACTATCATTTCTTTCACTCACTAGCTACCTCCTTTGATGAGTATTTAAAAATTTAAATTCAATTATTTTATATTATAGTTCACTAACATTGGCTTCCCATTTACCTCTAGGTTTGAAGTTTGAGGAAATTCAAGAGAGATTTGGTGAGGAGTTCTTTAATATTTGCTTTGATGAGAATGAGCGAGTCCTTCGAGCTGTGGGTGGCACATTGCAGGACTTTTTTAATGGCTTTGATGCTCTGTTGGAGCACATTAGAACTTCTTTTGGAAAACAGGCCACTCTGGAATCTCCGTCATTCTTATGCAAAGAGCTCCCTGAAGGTGCCCTTCTGCTTCACTACTTCCACCCTCATCCAGTGGTGGGCTTTGCCATGCCCGGCATGATCAAGGCTGCAGGAAAGAAGATCTATCGTCTGGACCTGGAAGTGGAACAGGTTGCAAATGAGAAACTGTGTTCTGATGGGTCAAACCCAGGCAATTGTAGCTGTCTGACTTTTCATATTAAAGAATGTGAAAATAGTAATATCACGAAGAACCTGCCCCGGGGAACCTCCCGGGTTCCTGCAGACCTCCGAATTAGCATCAACACTTTCTGCAGAGCTTTCCCTTTCCACTTGATGTTCGACCCAAACATGTCAGTCCTTCAGCTGGGGGAAGGCCTGCGGAAGCAGCTCCGATGTGACACTCACAAAGTGCTCAAGTTTGAGGACTGCTTCGAGATTGTTTCTCCCAAGGTGAATGCCACATTCGAAAGGGTCCTGCTCCGACTGTCCACCCCATTTGTTATTAGAACCAAGCCTGAGGCTTCAGGCACTGAAAATAAAGACAAGGTAAGTGGCCATGGGCTTGATATGGGTGAGGGAAGTGCATAGAAGTGTGCATAATTATTTCAGTAAATTACATGCTGGCTGTACTTGTAATTATTTAGGCAAGAGAGCTTAAAGTGCCATTTAGGAAATTACTGGTCCCTGGATGTATGTAAAAGGATTTGGCCCTGTTCCCAGGCATTTTGCATAGTGTCTGCCTCTTTCATTAATTTATTTCAGCATATGAAAGGAAGATATTTATTAATGCTAGTCATAGTAATTACAAATTGATAGGACTCACTAAAAGCTCAATATGTAAGCCATGAAAATCCCCACTGATTGCTCTTGGACTGTCGCAGGAATGCTGAGGCTGATTTCAGTACTATGGCACATGCTTGCCTTATTCTGAGGTAAATGTAGGTAAAAAGCTCACTATGCTTTGAACATGTTTGCTTCCAGATTTCATAACCTAGGAACAGCAGGCTTACATTCTATTTTTGGCTTAACATGGAGATTAATCTATTTTAAATAAATTTTTAGAACATAGTTACTCTTTGAGAGACTACAGATATGGTGAATTTCTTTGAAGCATCTTTGGGAATATCTGGGTTATAAATTATGAATAAATGATGAGAAGACACCAGAATATGTTTTAAAATTGTTGAGTTTAAGCAATTCAGGTACAGTACATTTTTTTAGGAAATAAGTTAACATTAAACAATAAAAATGTAAGAAAAACTAAACCATGACTGTTTTAAATTTAATAATATACTTTTGGTGACTGAAGGGAAAAATAATATTAATTTTGAGAGTAGACATTGGAGTGTATATTCAGTTTCCACTAGAATTTCTCTTCAATATTTAATCAAGATAAGAAAAGTTTTTTTTTTTTAAGGTTATTCAGTTTGTTTTCAAGAATTTGAGGGAAACTGTTGGCATTTAGAAATGAACAGGTTGCTTGAGATTAAGGGAAGGAAGCGTAGCAGAAATCTTGAGAGCTCAGTGAGGGTGGCTCATCAATCTGTATCCTGCAGTACCTGTGGCAGCCAGTGGGTCTAATAGTTTCCTGAAAGCAGAGTTTTTGTTTTTTTTTTCTGTTTTTTTTTGAGGACTTTATATAGTACTGGTTTCATAATTGACTATTTTTGATGATTTTGAAATTGAATGGAAATTTTTCAAAGAAAAATTTGAGAAGGATGGAATGATGCCTATTTTTTTCAGTGTGAATGAATTCAGTAACATAGGAGAATCAGTCGGCAAAGGTTTTCTGGTTTCAGTTCAATAATGTGAAAGTATCAGGATACACCTGAAGATTTTAATGTGGAACAGCTAGATATTTTAATCTGATGAAGTATTGTTGCACCTTTTCTTTACACAATGATGCTTTAAATAATACTTTCACATAGGTGTGTATATGTATTTACTTAATAACTGCCACTCATTTTGAAGTTTTTAAGAATGGAATAAATTGTTAAATGTGTTTTTGTCCATCTTGGTGGTTGCTTTGAAAATGGATTTATTCTAAGTTTTTAATTTAGAGAATATTAAAACTGTTGACTCTGTTTTATAGAAGTACAATATTTGGCTAGGAGGGTTCAAATCATCTGTGGTACTTAGAATTGAAGAAAATATTCTTGAAAGTGTGCCTGAAGTAGAATATATTATTCCAAATGTTCATTGTTTTATATATTTTGTAGACTTGAGAAAAATTAATTCAATTTAATATTACTGCTTCAGATGCCCCCTTGTACCTCTATTTTTCATCTGGCTTGTATTTCTCTTTAATTTATTATATACCAGGGTAAGAAATAGACATAATGAAATGATGACTCAAATGTCAAGGCCCCCTGCCAATTCCAGTAATAAGGAGCTGTCCTCATTGAGAAGATACAATTATAACTTAAACACGTTAGTGGCGGTTTAAAAATATAACAGGCAGGATTTTTAGTTAGAATATAGATAGCAATCCTCTCAACAACCCTGTATTTATGTTTCTTTATTCACCTGAGTTTGCCAGGATGGGAGGCTATCATTGGCCTAAATTGAAGCTAATGTCATTAATAAATTTGTGGCAGGATGTTTTAACCAGATGAATAACATTTTTGAATTATTATATCAATTTCCATATTTGTAGCTTCCAAAACATGGGGCAAAAATCAAGTTCAAAAGTTTTTGCTGATATATTTGCTATTGCCATTCATTATTTTCCCCACACTGTTTGTTCTTATTAATAAATAACTCCATGTAGTCTATAGTCTCAAATATTTTGGTTGGCTTTGATAAGAAAGAGCTCTTTAAAAATAATTTTGGCTGTATTCAATCTAACAGTGAAGGCCTTATAGTAATTTACTATTTTGATTATGTACTTAATACTGATGAACATCTATCCTGACATCAACCCCAACACATTCAAGAGCTAATGATTCACTTGTATGTCAATAAATTGCAAAATGTACTGTAGTGCTTTTGCTAACCTTCATCTTTTCATTTTGTCTTGTTAGTCAATGGTTAGTTATTTGAATAGAGGTAGGATAGGACGTGCTTGTGAGAATTGAATGAGATATTATTGGAATAGAAAGATAGAAATGATCATTCCATTTCTAAAGAATTTGTCTTTATCATTTATTTATTCTGCAATAATGAGTGTTCAAGAAGTGGGGTTTGGTCATCAGAAACATGGATGTCCTTGAGAGGAATTGGATGCACCTGTTGGTGGTACACTTCCATGCAGTGGTTTTGGGGTCTGCAGGAACTCTTCCAGGTGGTTTGACCAACTTTGGTTCCTACTACCTCGTTCCTTTCTGTAGATCCAGGTGATCAATCCATACCTCACATCTTGTATCACTTCCATTCTTTCTCTCTAATATGGCATTCCTATGTTTCACTCCCTTCAACTCAGTTTTTCCATCATCACCATCAGATGTCCAACCTCAAATGGGAAGGAATTACTTTATTTAAATAAAAACAAATTCAGCATTTGGAATTGAGTGAATGAGGAGTCCATATTAGCTCTTGGGTACTTTAAGTCACATAGTTCTTTTGAGGCATTCTAGTGAGTTTGAGAAAAAAATTGGTGGCAGTCCAATGGCAGATTGGGGGGTCAAATTTAGTCAGGTCAGCCCATATGATAAACAGTGATTCCAAAGCTTCTTTGTATGGGAATGGCCATGTTTCTAGATAGAGCTGCTAGAAATTAGAGTTTAATGGCACACGGTTTCCTTCTTTGCTTTTGTAAGGATGTGGTATATAGAGAAAGTGGCAATAGAGTATGGGAGAGGTGTCTCTGACAACCACAAGTTAGTGAGTCCCTCTACTCTCTGAGCTTTAATTTCTTCTTAAAATTAAGGAACCTTGACTAATAATTAACATTTTAACTCTTTATATCCTTCTTATATCTCAATTTATATGAAGTGAATTGTTCACGAAGGTTTTTGTGATCCCTGTGATTCTCTGAATTCAGTTGCATTTTCTGCCTCTCCAAAGATAAGAAGGGAATCTAATGGTCCAGTCATGAAGAGCTCATTCTTTTAGGACGGCTAAATTAAAATAATTCTCTGACAGTTTAGGTTAGTTTAGAAAATTACTTGTGAAGATAAGTGGCATAATCCACATAAAATTTAGATCTTCGGTCACTAGATTAAGCATCTGATAAGTTTTTCATTATTATTGTTTTAACCACTCTTAACATTCTTCCTGACGCCCCTCCTCACATCTTGCCTGACAGAAGTAAGTACCAGGGATCAGTAGGTTTAATCATTTTAGTAAAGCCAGAGACCATCTTCACAAAATATGACTTGGGCCCTGCTTCTCATCTTCTTAATAAAGACAGTAAAGGACCAATTGCCATAGATTCTATTGAAGCTGTGTTAAGATTTTCTTTTTATGTACTCTCATTGTTTCCTTTTTACATTCACTGAAGTTTGACATCCAGTTTTTATTACATGTTTCTTCTAATATCTTTTATGCTCAGTATTGGAACATTTTCAGGGCCAGCGGCTGCCACATTAAAATGGCATGGTTAGTTTAGGCACAACCTGAAACAGTAAGAGGTTTTGAGAGACCATAAATAACATGAGTTCCTTTGACCTTTTTTTTTTTTTTTTTTTTCTTAGTAGCAACGCTTCAAAGAACTTTAATAACATCATGGAAGGAGTCCAGCATTTGAATATTATCCTTAAGCCAGAACAGTAGCATTGTTATTTATCTTCACTTTTGTTCTCAGGGCTGGAACTCACAAAAAGCATAACAACAGCACGTTCCTTTTCAGTCCCCAGAAATACCCCCACATTTGTCTTATTAATTAGATGCTGCAAAACAAAGCTTGGGGAATAAACTTCAGAGAAGAAAGGATCTTTCTGTGGTCAAATCAGTTTCTCAAATGCTCCTTTATCTCTTCTGGACACGTGCCCATCTTTAACTGACATATGATTGAATGTTTTAGATATATTTATTAATCTTACCATACCCTAATGAAACTGTTGACAGACAAGTTTCATCTGGCTGTCAAGAATATATGATTCAATTCAATTTTAATTCAATTTGGGAATATGTGAGCATTTCTCCTCTCTTCAGAGCAGAAGAAATTAAACTGGCCCCAGAAAGGAATCTTAGCACAAGGAAAGATGCTGAATTACTACTTGCACATGATTTGTGTGTGTGTGTGTGTTACTGTCCCTCACTGACTGATGATGTAAACACTTCAATTCTCTATTAGAGAATTTAAAATATTGAACATTTATTTACAAATATTGTCCATTTAACAATGGACAAAATGACATTAAGGGCTTTTGCTATAAATAAGTAGTCTGGGGCCCTCCCTGGTGGTGCAGTGTGTTAAAGCACAGTACTATGAAGTCATCTGCAGCCACTGCGGCATTCGTTGGGTCCCCACCCAAGGAAGTGACCCACGTGGCATGGAAGACCTCTCCTGACCCACCTGCTGCTCCCCTCAGCAGTGTATTTCAGTTAATCTGCCTTTCTGCTCCCCACTCTGTCACTGGTGAATTCTCTCACCCTCTGCACCT